AATAATTATATACTTGATTAATTCTAATAATTTTTTATTTTAGTTTTTGTGATAAATGTATTTACATATAAAAAATCTTTATTATTTAGATATAAATAAATACTATTAATTATTCTTATATATCATTAAATATATCAAACAAAAAATATGAAAAATTAAAAAAGTTTATAAATTATAATTTTGTTAATAATATTTCTATCATAATTGGTATTAAGAGTGAATAATCATATATGTAATCATGATGCCGAATTTAATTTTTCATAATTAAATGACCAAATACAATAAACACGAAGAATCTTAAAAGAAGAAGATCTTAAAAAACCAGAAAAGAGAAATTTATAGAATAATAACACTTTGAATCCGAAACCTATAAGAATTACTTTTTATTATCCTAAAAATGAGCTAAATTAAATTTAAGTAGATTAATAGAAACGAATATTTATATCTAAAATTTAGTAATTTTTAAAACTTATTAAAAGTAATTCCTGCTAAAGGACCAAATATATATAGTTGTTGATAAAAAATACAGAACTGATGGTGAAAAAAATTCGGATATACATATTTGGGTTGTTTAAAGTTCGTAAATAAAAGGTTTAGCTAATGCTGTTTATTGCTAGTTAGATGATACTTTGAAAAGAGTTAATTATGGCAGAATTAAGGTGAATATGAGTTTGCTAGATAAATAATAATCTAATTTTGGATTTAAATCAGATTTTAATAATATTTTGCATGAATGCTTTCATATTTTAGGATTTTCAAGTGGCTTATATTAATTTTGGATAAATCCTTAAACCGGAGATTACTATGATAATGAAATAGATAATTTTATAAGAAAAGTATCTATAATTGGTAAAAATACTTTTATTATGTCTACACCTTGCGTATTTGATATGCTAAAAAATATTATGCATGTCCTATTTAGAAGGAATGTAATTAGAGAACAATGGAGATACTAAATTTATTGGTTCTCATTGGAAAGAATTAATCCTCTTTAATGAATTGATGGCTGCCGAGTCTTCTGGAAAAGACTCTCAATTGTCTGTTTTTACTATTGCTTTATTGAGAGATACTGGTTATTATGCCGAAGTAAATGAAAGTATGGCTGATGATTTTTAATCGGGAAGAAATAGAGGATGTGATTTTGTTCTTAAAGCTTGTTAATCTGATACTTAATATCCAGAATTTACTTAAAAGAAATATTCTCCAGATTAATGCACTTCGAAGAATAATGGTTATGGAAAAGTTAAATAAATTGATTTATATGATAATTGTAAAACAGTACAAAATACATTTTATTGTGAAGATTCAGATTTGAATAATTATGTCAATAATTTTTCTTTTTAATATTTTGGAGTTAATTCTAAATGCTTAAAATCTACTTCTATTTAAGGAAATAATAAATTTTAATATAGTAATGCTCGTTGCCATTTAGTCTAATGTTCTCCTGATTCAACTTAAATTACGATAACTTTTACTCAGTAAGCATTATAATTATTACTCTGTACAAAATAAGATTAAGGAAAAGAAATTTAAGTCGTGAAAGGATAACCAGAATTTGGTTACATTACTTGTCCTGATAATTATAGAGAATTTTGTAATTATACACCTGAATGTCCTAATTATTGTTCTCGAAAAGGTATTTGCATACTTGGATAATGTCGATGTTCATCAAGGTGGTCGGGAGCTGATTGTAATATTAGTTTAAAAAATTGCCCTTATTTTACTTTAGAGGAAGATCCCTAAAAATGTGTTTAATAATGTCCTTCAGATAAATTTCCAAATCCTGATAAAGTATGTAGAAGTAACTGTCCTAAAAGTTTTTACTTTAGTAATTATAGAAATGATTGTGTGGAATGTAATTATTAGTGTTTATCATGTTCTGGCCCTTCAAAAAATTAATGTCTAGAATGCGGTATTTCAAAATATTTAGAAGAAGGATAATGTGTAAATTAATGTAGCAGTAACTTTATATTAGTAAATTAAAGAAAATGTGTAAAATCAGTAGATTAAGGATGTGAATAAGAATGTGAGAGATGTGATTCTGAAAACAAAGTAATATGCACTAAATGTAAAGATTAGTACTTCCTTAACTTAAAGACTGGTAAATGTGTTGTTGCTAACAATTGTCCTTAAGAAACATTCGCTAATGAGGAAAATAACACATGTTAAATATGTGAACTTACAGGATGTATATAATGTATTTCTTAAACTGTATGTTAAGTGTGTGATGAATAATTAGGATTTTTTAAAAAAGGTGATTAATGCGCTAAATGTCCTTAAGGATGTTAAAAATGCTCAAGTGATCTATAGTCTTGTACTGTTTGTTATAGTGGATTATTTTTATAAGAAAGAAATTGTGATATTGATTGTCCTTCAAATAAATTTTAGGATTAAAAAAAAAGAGAGTGTATTCCAATTTCTATATGTAAGAGGTTATTTTTATTTATAAAATAAATGTATAAAACAATGTCCTAAATATACTTTTAATGAAAACAGCAAATGCATACAATGTCCTTAAGGTTGTTTAATGTGTTGGACTAAATCTAAATGTATTTAATGTGATAGTTAACACGATTTGGTTCATATATATAATACAATTTTTAATTGTTAAGTAAACTCAAAATATATAAATTAATGCATCTCACCTTGTTTAACTTGTTTACCTAATAATAAATATTCATGCTTATCATGTTAACAGGGGCTTTTATTAGATAATTAATGTTATGGTGATTGTCCTGACACTTTTTATCCTGATTATGATAAATAAGCCTGTATTTAATGTGGAGATGCATGTTTACGTTGTTCTTCTTCACCAGATTGTCATTAATGTGATTTATTTTAAAAGTGGATATGAATTTTCAAATTAAAAATGCATTAAAAAAGTAGGCAATACTAAAGATAATGAAGACAGTACTACAGATAATGGAGAAAGTACTACAGATAATAATGGAGTTAGTAATATAAATAATATAGGTAACTATCTAAATAAAGAAAAAAATACTACAAATAATAAAGAAATTACTTCAAATAATGAAGATAATTCTAAAAAAAATGGAGGTAGTAGTCCTTATTATAATTAAGCATTACTTTTAATTATTGCTTCTTTATTGATATGATTAAAATATATATATTTAGAATTTTTTATTTTTATGATTTTTTTAAAAAATTAGAATTAAATAAATATTAATTTATATATTTTTTAATAATTATATATTTAGAAATTTGGATATAATATTTTTTTAATTTAATTTTTTTATTTAATAATTTCATTCAGCAAAAAAAAAACATAATATTATATATAAAAAGTTTGTTTCTATAAAATCAAAAACAACTTATCAATTTTTTTTTATAAAAATAAATATTTTATTTTGAAAAAATCTAAAATAATACTATATATATTTTTTAAGATTAACATTTTATGTTAATAAAAAATATTTATGTATAAATTATATTTTTATAAAAATTAGATACTACATATGACATATAAAGCAACTTACTTGATAGTTTCAATTTATGTGATTAATCAATATTCTAAACCTCCTGAAAATCCTTAATATGAAAGCATTCATACAAAATATTATTGAAATCATTTTAAATCCATAATCAGTTTATTTTCTTAATTAGAAAAGTAATACATTAATTTATTTTATAGAAAACCCTCTGATACTAAAGGTCCTTATTGTAATAAAAATCAATAAGTTAAGTTCATAGTATTAAGCTGGGGACTCAGATCAAAACCAAAAAATCAATGGTGAATCCTATTTTAGTGTAAAAGTATAATAATGAGAAATGCACAAACTTGGATAATGTTGAGAGAGTTTGGATGGTTTATTCTTCTTAACCTGAATAGGACACTAGAATTGACCGAAGTTCCTTGAAAAACTCCCAAGAAATTACTGAAAAAATCACAAGAAAACACTTCTCTATTATCAGTCCTTGCTGCTGATGGAATTTTGAAGGCTGTTGGCACTTCTGGAAAATATAAAGAGTATTATAGGAAGAAAATATTTAATCTATAAAAAAAACTTTTGATAAATTATCTAATTCTAAATAACTGATATAATTTTAAAATGTAAAAGATATTTTTTATATATTTGGTATTGTTACTATTATTAATAATAGTGCCTTAAGGAATTGATTTGTTTTCCTCAATTTAATATATCCGACAAAAACAAAAATTATTGTGTATTATTACTATTTATATTTGCATATTAATAAATATATGATGAAAACGAAATTATTTTAATAAAATTTATTAAAATTATAATGAATATATAAAAAAAATATAATATGTTTCTTTCTACCTTCCCAGAAATAAAAAATATCCTGCTAACTACCTCAAAATAAAGACATTTAAGTACATTAATTGTAAAAATGAATAAAAAACTATGGGCAATCTATAAAAATGACTTAATGCAGGATTAAATGGGAGAATATAGGCTCTAAAGATACTACTTACTAGTTATAGTTTAACTAGAATTATTAATCTCAATAAATACACAAGCTAAATAGATATTGAATATAGAAGATAAGCTGAAAAAATTGTAACTAGAAATCACTTAAATAGATGAATAATAAGACGAAGAAACAAAAAAATTCATCTATCTGTCTATAAAGAAATATGAAATCTACACTTATTATCAGAAACTCTGGAATAAGCTTAATTTTCATAAGCTGAACTGTATTATTTAATGAAAAAACTCAATAATTATAAGCAACTATAGAAGAATCGTTATATGGAAGAAATAAATATGATATTTAACAAGATATAAAAGAATCTATTTATAGGCAACATATGAAAGGTACAATCAATAAAAATATACTATTAATAAAGATTTTTATAACATAAAAAAAAAAAAAAAAATAGAAAAAAAGTAATCAAAGAAAAGGTTAAAAAAAAAAATAATTATAAATTTTAAAATATATAAAATAGATAAAAAAATCAAAAAATTAATATAATTTATTAAAAAATAATGAATTAAAATTATATTTAGAATATAAAATAAAACAATTAAAAAAATAAAATAAACATAAAATAATAATATAAAAAAGGAATAATAAGAAAAAAATATATATAATTATTAAGAAAAAAAAAAGGTTAATATAAAAATAACAAAAATATATATAAAAAAAATATATAAAAAAATATAAAATATAAGATAAATCAAAATAAAATAAAAAAAAAAATATAAAAAATAAAATAAAAAATAAAATAAAATAAAAATATATAAAATTATAATAAAATTAAAAAATTATATTATAAGAATAAAAATCATTAATAAAAAAAAAGAAATATTAAAAAAATGAATATAAATAATAATTAAAATCTAAATAAAAAATAAAATTTATGAAATTAATATTTAAATTTATATTTATATTTATATTTATATATATATATATATATATATATATATATTTATAAATAAATTTATTTAATATTTATATTTTGAATGGCGTATAAAAATTAAAATTATAAATATTAAGGTAAACATAAATAAATAATTTAATGATATCAATCAAGTCTTATAAATGGCACAGATGCTTTTTTTTACCTGTAGCCTCATAAAATTAAGAATCTATTACATATATAGCCTCTGGAAAAGCTAATTCTATGCTTTCCGAATAAATAAATTATTTATTTAAAAGGGACTTATTATTTTGATTTATATTGATTAATATCTTACTTAATCAGTCCACAAATAAAACACAATATAACAATAATTCTGAATAATTAAAATAATAAAAATCTTAGAAAAACAATTATTCAATAAATTCTATTAAAGAATAAGAATAGAAATCATAATAATAATAATTATACCGCCAAAATAAATTTTATTAAAATAATTTAAAAAATTAAAAAAAATTAAATTTTAATTTAAATATTAAAAAATTAAATAATAATAATATGATAAAAAATTAGCGAAATTTTATTAAATTCTTATAATAATAATAATAATAAAATGAAAATAAATAAACACTTAATTTTTCCAAATTCAATTTAAAAGGATATTGTAAATTTAAAAACAAATTCTCATACATTCATAGATTCCCAAATTATAAAAATTACAAAAAAACTTCTTAAAAAATATATGCATATATAAAAAAAAAAATCTCTATACTTAATTAAGATAACAATATGTAAATATCTGAATAATAATAATAAATTTAATAAAATAAAGATTTCAAAGATATATAAGAATATAAGTAAAATTAACCCCAATCACCTAATAAATCTGAAAACAAAAATCTTAAATAACTAACCCTTTAAAACTTTATTATTAACAATAATGAATAAAATAAAAATATTCTTGAAGAAGGAATTAATTATTTAAAAAACTTAAATAAATAAGAAATAAGAAATAAAAGAAATGTGAACATTTTTAATAATAAAAGAAAAGCTAATATTTTTGAAATTACTTAAAATGAATAATAATAAGTTAAAGAACAAAATATAAATATGGATTTAAAAAATAATAATAATAATATAGAATAAAAATAAAATGAAATGCAAATATACTCCACTCAATAAGTAAAAGAATAAACATAATTATAATAACAATAAAAAGGGAGTAATAAATAAATATACTTAATTTAATAATGATAATAATTACACTAAAATATAAAATAAAAAATAAAAACAATTTACCTATATAAAAAATATAATATAATATATAACAATAATATAACAACTTATATATAAACAAACAAAAACATAATTAATAACACACTAAACAATAACACTAATATATATAAATATTAAGCACAAATATTAGGTCCATATATAACAAAAAAGAACTAATTATATATGAAGCAACCAAAACGAACTCTTAAATCATTCTACTTTGTGAAACATGGCAATAATAAGAAAAACCAATAAACATCATCGCATACAATGGCTTTCATTGGTATAGAAATAATAAAAGAGGAGGTGGGGTATCTATTTTTATACACAATTCTTTATGTGGACAAGAAATAAAAACTGAATCACAAGAGCTTAAAATGATTATGCTCGACATAAATAATAGTTCATAATTAATTATAGCATGCCTCTACATCCCAAACAATTAATTAAAAAGTTAAATAATTTCTATATTCCAAGAAATTAATCAAAAACTTCAAATGTACTAAAATCCACAAATTTTTATTTTCGGAGACTTTAATAACAATCCTTAAATTATAAATAAAATACTAAAAGATTTCATTTAAAAATATAACTTAAAAATTAGCCCAGATTAACCTACACACTTAAATAACATCATAGACTTAACAATTTCAAGCGATTCTTTATAATGTAAAAGAAAAGTTGGTAATAAAATAGGTAATAGTGATCATAAATATTTAATTTCTGAAATTATCATATAAAATAATATCTAAAAAAAATAAAATATAAATATACAATAAAAAAAAAGCACGCAATCTTCTACTACAAGCACTAAAATAAGAAAATTCATTAAAATTATTGAATTCTAAAAAATTTACAATTAAATATA